GCACATTCGTTAACCCGGACGGCATCACTGTATACTCGTAACTGCCATAGCGGGTGCAAAAAGCAGTCTTCGGGCAGTCATCGGCGAACACGCGAATCTGATGGTAACCACCTCGCAAATCGATTTTCGAGAAGAAGAGAGCCTTGCGAAGCTGATCAATAGGTCGTCCGCTCGCGGAATCGGGTAACGTGACTTGATGGTGATCCGTTTCAGTGCTCGATAATCGATGCGCATGCGCAGGCCTCCGCCCTTCTTCGGCGTGAATAGAATCGGGGCGACGAATGATGACGTGCTCGACCGGATAAACCCTTCGAAAGCAAGTAATCCAGCTGTTTCCGCAACTTGTCGAGCTCCGGTTGGCTGAGCCGCCACTGGGTTACGCATCAGGCTCCAGCTCGATCCGGTGGTCTTCTAGTCGCTGAGGAGGCAGCCCGTCAGACAGGTCATCTGCGAAAATTTCGAGATACCTCCGAATTATGCTCGCCATCCTCTGGTACAGCAGCACAGAGCGTGTCAATGTCGGCAATTTTTTTGGATGCAACCACCTCGTACAGGTGTATGGCGTAGCCTTGCGCTCCCCTTTTTATCGCCCTCTTCAGCGTAATCGCGTTGACACGTGTCGTCATCGGCCTCAGCTCCGCCCATTTTGGAAGTGTCACTCGTCCCTTGTTGCTCAGCACCGTGCAAGCTCCCGTCGTCTAGTCGATTGTCGGATTGTACCGCTGCAGACAATCTCGTCCTAGCAGCACATTGCAACCGTCCAGCGTTGTCGCCAGCATCCTAATTGAAAACCCGAAATCGTCACCACACTTGATCCGAATTTGTCGCACCTCGTCCCTGATCGCCAGTGGTGTTCCATCCACCAGTCGCGCGTCAATCTCAGGCAGACACCTGTCCAGCTTAACTTTGATTTTTTTGGCCGTTGCTAGGTTGACGAGACTGTGGCTCTCGCCACCGTCAACGAATATTTTTGTATTTTACCCGTTAATCCTCCCCACGACCAGCACAGGGTGATCCACGTGTTCATCCACCTTATTCGTCCGGTTGCGGTCGATAGCCCGTGCGATGGGGTCTCGACAGTAAGTGGCCCGACTGCTACTGACTCGTCTCTTTTCCCGACCCCTCTCCGTCGTTCCTGTTTCCCTGTTTCAGCTTCGTGCATTCTTTCCTCCAATGGCCCAGTTGGTTGCACTTGAAGCACGTTTTTTGTGCATATCTCGGCGCATCCACACCGTTGATTGTGGGCTAGCGAGGCGGTCCACGAAACTGATTTCCCTCCCGGGAACTCATTCTCGCCCACTGTATCAACGTGTCTGTTGATTCGGCCAGCTAGACAGCATCTTGAAGTCGCGTGGCCTCGTTCGTCGCACCTCGTACTGTACTTCGTACTTGAGGCCTGCGACATATCGATCGAGCCGCTCCGCGTCACTCATGTCGTCCACTTGGTCGGCCAAAGCGCAGAACGTTGCCGTGTAGTCTTGGACCGATGTCACTTGCTTCATGCGAGCGGAATCCGAGGCAGATAAATGCTCGAATCTGGCTCGCAGCGCTGCGCCCCACTCCATCCATATGCGTATCATGGCCACAACGAAGATTGTAGTTGCTCGTTGCGTGACAGATGTCCAGGTCCTGTCGTTCGTACATGATATCCCTGCCAAAGTTCCCTCTGCCTGAAGCATTTGTCTCCACCACTCCAATGCAGCTCCGCGTAAAAGTGACATTGCAAAATCAATGCGAGTGACATCATCAGCAATTTGCGCAGCATTTAAGGAAACCTCCATGCTGAACAACCACTCAGACACAGTGATTGTTTTGTCGCTGGGGTTGATCGAGGCCGGGTTCATCGGTTTGATCTTGGCAGTTGTTGAAATTACTGCTGCTGCATGCACTGTGGGCGCCGTCGAAGCCATTGCCGAGTTTGTCGCTGGCGCCTGCCTTGGCGTTGTCTGCGACTGTTGTCTCGGCGTCGCTTGTGCCTATTGTTGCTGCTGCGGCTGTTGCTCCGGCGCTCCTTGTGCCTGTAGCTGTCGTGCCGCCCACTCATCTTCAGCGTCCAGCGAGCCATCTAGCTCGTTAAACACTTTCTCGTTGAATGATAAGCTGCTACTTGCTTCGTCCACGACGGGCGACTCCTAGCACGCTTCACCTCGCGCCTGGCGTAGTTCGGCGTTTTCCACCCTCAGGCGCTCCAGCTCGCCATACATAGTCTGCAAGTTGGTCTGCATCGCCTGAAAGTCCTTCATGAAGCGGTTAAACTCGGCCTCTCAGGCTCCTAACGGGCAGGGGGTTAGCAATGATTTTTATGACTTTGATGAAGACGCAAACGCTATTAGTCGGAGCGAAATACTCGTATCTATTTCTCAGCCGACGGCTTTGCAGCCCACCATGTCTATCGCACCCCTCCATTACCAAGGAAACAAGGCCCGTGCTAGGAATTGGGGCACCCTGAGGCCTCAGGGCACTTTTCTAAAATCTTAAAAAATGCCCTGATTTGTCAGGGCAAATTTTCAAAGCCTTCCTATATGTTCAGGGCTTCTACAAACATTAATCCTGACATGTCAGGGCAAGAAAACCTTTGTTCAGGGTTCAGATTTCAGCACAGTCTAGACTAGACCCCGCCGAGCAGAGCAGAGAGACACACGCCTAGTGCGTGTTGGCATGGCACACGACGAGATGGGAGTATTCCCTGTTTTCCCCATCTGGTGCGTTTGGTTGGTGCGTTGCACAGGGTCGGAAGTGCAAGGGGGTTGCGAAGGCCGAAAAATACACTGGGAAAGCAATCAATGGGGGAATTTTTTTCGAGGAACAAATTCTCCCCCCCCCCCTCTTAACACGTTAGGGCAAGCCTCGACGTTCAACCTGACGCTACAGGGAAGAACACCACTGTCATCCCGATTTTCCAGGGGCATTTCATATGAAATCATCCTGAGAGCTCTAGGTAAAAAGTTTCACTTTTCTGAAATCACAGGGCAAATTCAAATATGCATCCTTAATTCAGGGTAATCAGGATGTCTTGCCCTGATATCGTGGGGCCTGCAAGGAAACCTAGGAAAGTAAGCTCTGATACCAAGTGTTACGAGTTGTACGAAAGAAGAGTGCGTAGAATGCAATATCGCGGAAGTGATTACAATTACTAAGCAAACAATGAGGTATAGGACAAATATAGTGAAGGCTATCTAGGCCGAGTTCGCGGGACCGCGCACGGTTGGGTGCAGGTTTGGGGTCGGGAAACCCGAAGGCGACGCGAGAAACGTTCGGAATGCGAGGTCGTCGGACCGAGCCTGAATTCCGAAAGTTGGAATTGTACGCGCACAGAGTGCCTCAGTAAGGAATTATGAAAATTCCTTACACTTTCCAACACCTGCTCGACTTTCCCAAACCACCGAGACCTCAGACTTGCGCAAGCTTACTAAACTAGTGCAATTTGGGCCGCGAGCTTCAAGCAAACACATATAGTTTAGCACTGCAACTCCCTCTCTACAGTCGACTTCGCGTTAGTGAATCCCTCCCCCTAAAATGCTTCCCGACCTCGGCAGGCTTCGAAGTTTCAAGTGTGGACCGAGCCGAGAGGTGAGGTCTGACGCGTTGGCTAGTTCCAACCTAACCAAACCCGGGCGAGAAGCCTTCGCCCAGACAAGAGAAAGCAAGCCGAAAGCGGAGTCAAGCTTGCGCATCAACCCCCCAGACACAGCACGGAACAAATCTCACTTTCAATTGTACACCATATATGAACGCAGTTCAAGGTATGCTCTAGTTTATTTCCAGCTTAGCATCGCCCGGTTACCGCGCGAGCACCGCGTCCATCGCACGGGCCACCCTAGAGGCGGCACCTCTCGCATCTGCATTCAGAACGACGAGCCGCGTCATCCCATCTCGCAGCGCGTTGGGTGGCTTCCACGCACGCGAACGAGTTCCGTCGCGCTCACAGGGTTCACCCGCGCGGCATTGGGGTTCGGCGACCAGAAGACGCGAGGCAGAGCGCGACCAGCACGCCACTAGGGCCGCGCCTCTCTAATCACCCGCGAATACGTCGCGCATCCTTCACGCCCACCGCGCTCACCCATTCACCCCCCCGTCACGCGCTCCCCTGCCACTCTCGGCGGATGGCGGCGCTGAACGCATTCGCGTAGCGCTACACGGTGCGAGACGTAGGGCGTGTGGGACGGCGGTGAGAGGAAAGGGAGGAGAACGTGAAGAGAAGCGAGAGGGTAGGAAGCGAAGCAGGTTAGGATGTGGGAGGAATGGGAGTGGAGTTGTGTGAGTAGCAACTGGAATGAAGGGACGGGACTGGAAGGTAAGGCAAATGAATGAGGGGGGTGAGAGACATGACGGGATAGTACCCCTCCCTTTTCATGCAACCCCCGTATTTCCCTTTCCTTCCCTTCCATACATATGCCTGCTTCTCTCCACCCTCCGTCTCAACCGCTTGTATTCCCTTTCTTCCCCTTCGCCGCCTGTAACCCTTCCCTTTCCTCCCCTCCCCTTCCCCTGTATCCCCTTCAGTTCCCTATTCGTTCCTTCCAAGAAGATCTAATTTGAGCCAGTCCTGCTGCCACGCCACCCCTCCCTGCAGTCATCTCAGCACGTCAGTCCCACCTCGCGAGCGTGTGCGGCCAGTGAGTCCCACCGTCGCATCCTCAGCTCCCACCACCGTTAGGTGCGCTGCACGTGTGCCACCACAACCAGTGCCATTCAAACGTCCAATGCACTCACCAACGCACTGCAATCTGCGTGCGTCCACTGTCCCTCCCACTGCCATTCCCTCCCGCTGCTGCCCTTCCCTGCTCTGCCTTTCCCTGCGCTGCCCTTCTCGTTATTGCTGCAATGCTGTCTTGATGCAATGAGGTTCAACACGCAGCCAGTGCCTTCCACGGGCGCTGTTGTGTCCCACCCGTCACCACTCTTGCCGCCGTGTCCCTCCTCTCCGCTCCTCCTCAGATGCAGCTAGGCACAAGCAAGGCTGAGCAGTGGGATTCGTTGGTGTCTCAACAAGTGGCTCAATGAAGACTGCAGGTGCCTCGCATGGGGGTATGTGCCTCGCATGTGCCTCGCATGGGGGTATATGCCTCGCATGGGGATATATGCCTCGCATGGGGGTATATGCCTCGCATGGGGGTATGTGCCTCACATGGGAGTATGTGCCTCACATGGGGGTATGTGCCTCACATGGGGGTATGTGCCTCACATGGGGGTATGTGTCTCACATGGGGGTATGTGTCTCACATGGGGGTATGTGTCTCACATGGGGGTATGTGTCTCACATGGGGGTATGTGCCTCACATGGGGGTATGTGCCTCACGTGGGTGTGTGTGTGCCTCACATGGGGGTATGTGTCTCGCATGGGGGTATGTGTCTCACATGGGGGTATGTGTCTCACATGGGGGTATGTGCCTCACATGGGGGTATGTGCCTCACGTGGGTGTGTGTGTGCCTCACATGGGAGTGTGTGCCTCACAGTAGCTATGTGAAGCCAAATTACAATGGCTGAGTCAGTTTGAAACTCGCGCATGCATCCACCCCCCTGTCTATTCCCTCCATATCATCCCACATCTCACTTTGCACCTCTACTCACATATCCTGCCGCCCATTTACCTCCCCACCACACCACAGCAGCCGCCCTGCACGGCACGGCATTGGTGTCTGCGGTGCCAGCACGGCAGCAGGCGCATGTGTGGGTGCTGGGGGGCGTGCTGGCGGGCGTGGTGTACCTGCACTGCCACGCCATGGACCGCCCGCTGCTCGCCCTCACTGCCGACGTGCTCCTCGTCCTCACCACTGCCGCCGCCCTGCTCTCCCTCCTCTCCCGCGCTCTCAACCTCCCGTGAGTTGACCTTTCCCCCCTCGCCACCTGCCAGCCTGCACGTGTCCGTCCCTCATCATTGGCATCAGCACGTCGTCACCAATCCACGGGAGCTTTTCAAACTTCACCTCCACATGCTCACTCGCCCTCCCTCTTATCCCCCCTGGCTCCTCCCTAATTCTTTCTCCACCTCCTCCACCTCCGTTCCCCACTTTCTTGTCCGGTTCTTCCAAGTACCAAACATCCATTTGTGTCTCCACCACTCTTTCTCCCCGTCCGCACTCCAACCCAAGCCCTTGGCCCATCGCTCGCACTCAACATGCAGCACGAGGGGGGGATGGCATCACAGGAAGCCACGAGTCTTGGAAGGGCTCCTGGGCCACCAGACAAGTCTCTTCTTCGCCCCCTTTGCCCTCCCAACTCTCCTGCTCCTGCTGTCTCTGCATGCCTGCTTCTCCCCCTCCCCCCTCCCCCTCCCCCCTTCGTCCCCCAGCCCTGTGCTGCGGGTGGCGCGCCCCTGGCGGGTGTCGGAGGCGGCGGCGGAGGCGGTGGTGGCGGCGGGGGCCAACATGGTGGGGGCGGCGGAGGGCGTGCTGCGCGTGGCGGCCAGCGGCTCTGATGGGCGCCTCTTCGTTAAGGTGGGCTGCCGTGGAGTGGGCAGTGACTGTAAGTGAATAACTCATGAGTCATGATCCTCTGCAAGCTCTTTCAAGAGTTGCTAGCAGTGGAAGCTGCAAGCCAACTCCTCCGCTCACAAGTTAATCCACCTCTGCGCATCAGCATTGTCCTTTTCCTATGGTTATCCTTGGGCCCTTAGCAAGAGGCTCATATACGCATGCTTCCGTGTGGGCCTTCCTTGTTCAAACCAGTCAAGGGTGTGCGAGTAACCCCCTCAGCTGTTTCTCTTTCTCCCTGCCAGGTGCTGCTCTTCCTCTACATCACAGCAGCCATCGGTCGCATCGCCTCCCTTGCCACCATCATCTTCGCCTGTCAGCCTCTTTCCCCTCCTGTTTATCACTCTTCTCTCTGTGTCCCTTCCCATATTTTTCTTACTGGCTTTTGCCTTCTCATCGCCATCCTTGCTCCCCCCTCCCTTCCTCCACAATACAAATCCCTTCTCCTCCCTCGCACCCATTTTAGTCACCTTTTGCTGCAAAGTGGTTTCCTCGCGTTAGCCATCCCTCTGCTCCTTGTTCCACTCACCGCAATGTTGTAAGATTGCCCTGTTTGTGCTGCATTCACTCTGTTTGCATACTTTTCGTCGTGTTTCCCTCTGTGGCAGGTGTTATCAGCGCCTTCACAGTCTCCCTCCTACGTTCCCTTGCATCCTCTGTTGCTGCTCTTGTCAACACCCGCACTCCAATATAATCATCATCAGTTCCTTCACACTCATTCATACATGTGTTGATGTCTTACCCATGCACGGCGCAAAAGCCATGCAGCACGACATACCGTAATCCCCCGTATATAAGACCCTAGGGTATTATGATACTCAGCCCTAAAAAGGCTGGGGGGTATAATTAAATGGTATTTTTTAGAAGACCCGGGTCTGTTCATATTGACATTTATAAGAATGTAGTTTTGGAGCTCAAAGAAGTGATTTGGAATTGCTCCGTTTTTAGCTCCTCCCAAAAATACTCGAATTGGTCTCCACACGGGCCGAACCCACGTCATCACGAACCCTATCTGGGAGCTGTCAAACATTATATGTGTTGCTGTTCTGTAGGCTACAGTGGGTTTAGCCTTAGGGGGTACAATATTCTAGGGTTTGGTACTTTGTACTCCCAACCTTGCTAGTCAATCATTCCTCTGATTTCCACAGGAGCCTCCCCTCCTCCCATTGGCCACTTGGTGTGCGTTATGTTAGAATCTAGCAGCAGGAATGAATGAACTAGCAGGATGCAGGAGTACAAGTAGTTAACCCTAATTTGGTTGTACCCCATATGGGCTACCCCACTACAGCCTAGACAATATGCTGCACATACAGTTTGACACACCCCCATAGGCAAAGTGGGGGAGAACAAGGGGTCACACGACCAGTCAAGAGAAGCAAAACAAGCTCAGGGTGGATCACAACGTCACCACGCATTCTGAGCACAAGCAAAGGGCCACAAGGCCAGTTCACATGCAGAGATATATATGCAGCAATAACAGTACAGTGATGGCTACCTAGCAAGAGCCAGCATGCAGGTATATATATAGATCACAGTACAAGCAGAGACTACAGCAAGTGTGGAAACGTAGGCACAAGGCCCAACAGAGTACAAAAGCGCTGATGATCACCAGCAGTGTTGGTGAATATATCAGCAGTGTTGGCCCGAGTGGCCACGTGGCGAAGACGAAGCTGGCCTCGCTGCTGCAACTCTCGAGCCAGGAAGTAACGCAGAGCAATGTGCTTCGTTCTGTGCTCCAGTCTGTGCTCCTCACACAAGGCAATGGCGGCCTTGTTGTCAACGTACAGCACTGGAGGAGAACGAGGCTGCTCTCCCAAGTCAGTCAGCAGGTAGGTGAGCCAGCGTAACTCCTGTGCAGCCATGGCGGTGGCGTAGATCTCAGCCTCACAACTGGAGCTGAGAACTGAAGACGAGCGTGTAGAACGCCACGAAACTGAACCAGAGCCAAGGCTGAAGGTGTAACCCTGTGACGACCGCTGAGTAGCCAGGTCGTCAACCCAAGAAGCATCTGAGTGCCCAGTGAGGACAACTGGGCTCGTCCCTCCAAGCACTAGCCCCATGCCTGATGTGCTGCACAAGTAGCGCAGTACCCTCTTAGCAGCAGCCATGTGCTCAGGTCGGTGCCGACCAGGAGCCACGTAGCGAGCCAGGAGACCAAGAGGGTACGCGAGGTCAGGTCGAGTGCAAGTCATCAGGTACATGAGGCAGCCGACTAGCTCTGGGTAAGGACCACTCGGCTCTACGGACTCGTCTGAAGGTGGAGCTGAGAGCGTGTGACCTGTAGCCAGAGGAGTGGCCTGTGCTGAAGACCAGGTGAAGCCGAAGCGCTGAAGGACCTGCTGCACCATGTGTGACTGAGTCAAGGTGATGGTGCGACGTGCTCTGTCCCGGGTGATCTGCAAGCCAAGGTAGCTGTGCAGCTCACCCAAGTCTGTGCACGTGTGTCTCTTCTGCAGCTCCGACTTCACGTGGGCGAGAGCCTCAGTGTCAGCAGTGGCAAAAACCAAGTCGTCGACGTACACGAGGATGTAGAACGGCGGCAGTGAAGTGTCGGTGCGCAGAAACAACGACGGGTCAGCAGTAGAAGGCGCGAACCCAAGAGCCGCAAGCGTAGTCCTCAGTGTGTCGTGCCACTCACGTGGCGCCTGGCGGAGACCGTAGACCGGCCGCCGGAGGCTCCACTGGGTACCAGGAGGGAACGACCCAGTGAAGCCCGGGGGGCGGCGCAGCCAGATCTCCTCGTGCAGGCTGCCCTGCAGGAAAGCTGTGCTGAAGTCAAGAGAGTGAAGCTCGTAGTCACGGTGAGCAGCAACGTGCAGCAGCACCCGAAGAGTGGTCATCTTCGGGGTGGGGGAGAAGGTCTGGAAGAAGTCAACTCCCTCTCGCTGACTGAAGCTTCGAGCCACGTAACGCGCCTTGAAGACAGGCGGAGAACCCGGCGGCCTCTTCACCCTGAAAATCCACATGCCACTGACGATGTTCGCCCCAGGTGGGGGAACCTCGTCAACGTAGGTGCCTGTGGACTTCCAGGAAGCCATCTCTGCGTCCATGGCTGCCTGCCACTGAGAGGAGTAGGGACCCTCTATCGCCTCTGCGTAAGAGCGCGGAGTCGGGATGTCTGGTGCATCCGGGTCTCCCTCAGGGGCAAGTAGCGAGGACACAAGATGAGGTAAAGCAGCAGCAAGACACTGGAACTCCTCCTGCCTGTCCTCAAGGACGTCCGTGCTAAGAGCACACTCACCCCCGACGGACGGAGGACAGACAGACTCAGACTCAGCAACAAGACTAGCGGCGTAGTCTAGACGACAGGCAGCAGCAAAGTCAACAAGCTCAGCGACCAAGGCAGACGCAGCAGTAGACTCAAACGACGGGTCAGTGACAACAGTGGCTAGGAGACGCGTGACAGTAGGGTGCTCAGTACGAAACCGGTCAGACTCAGGGTCCGGAACGGCAGGCAGAGAGGACGCAGGAGGAGACGGCAGAGGAACAGGCGGCGGAGCAGAGGAAGGACGACGGACTACGAGGTGTGCGCCGGGGACAGCCGGCTGACGCGAACGAGGAACACGACGACCGGTACGACCAGGACGAACAGGCGAAACAGGACGCGACGCAGGCTCACGACGCTCAGCAGGACTACCAGTCTGCTCAGTGTAAGGAGAAGGAGCAGGCAGCGGTGAGCCAGGCAGTAACGGAAGACCAGTAGACGACGGAAGAGTAAGAACCTGACGAAGAACAGAGGCAGACGGCGGCAGAGACGACGGAGACGGCGGAGCGAAGAACAGTCGTGTCGGCGCAGCTGCACCAGTACCAGCAGCTCCAGCAGCTCCAGTGCCTCCAGCAGCTCCAGTACCTCCAGCAGCTCCAGTACCTCCAGCAGCTCCAAAAGCTCCAGGCCCAGAGCCGACACCTCGAGTCCCAGGGTCTCCAACCTCTGTGTCTCCAGCAGCAGCACCCCCAGAACCAGCACCTCCAGTCCCAGGGTCTCCAACCTCAGTGTCTCCAGTAGTAGCACCCCCAGAACCAGCACCTCCAGTCCCAGGGTCTCCAACCTCAGTGTCTCCAGCAGCAGCACCCCCAGAGCCAGCACCTCCAGTCCCAGGGTCTCCAGCCTCAGTGTCTCCAGCACGAGCACCTCCAGAACCAGCACGACTCCTAGCTCCAGCGGCGCGACGCTGACGGCGACCGTACCAGTCCTGCAGCTGCTGTGGGGTGAGAGGCACACGTGGACGAAGGCGGCTACTCCAAGGAGACCGCGTAACAGCAGACTCAGAACCCTCAGCGCCCGCACCCCCAACGGCTCCAGAACCTCCGGTGGCAGTACTCTTAGCACCAGTACCTCCAGCGGCTCCAGAACCTCCAGCGCGAGCACCCTCAGCAGCTCCAGAACCTCCAGCTCCAGCGCCACCAGTACTAGGCCCTCCAGCAGCTCCCGAACCTCCAGCGCCAGCACCCTTTGTAGCTCCAGAACCTCCAGCGTCAGTACCGCCAAGCTCAGCACCCCCAGACCCCTCACACTCAGGCTCAGCACCACCAGGCTCTACACCCTCAAGCTCCGCACCCGCAGGCTCAGTACCCCCAGGCTCAGCACCCCCAGGCTCCGCACCCCCAGGCTCAGCACCCCCAGAAGTAGCACCCCGAGCAGGACCACTCGCAGTAGGACCTGAGTCACCAGTGACCTCAACCGGCGCAGTCAAGGGAGGAGGGTCTACCTGAGAAACACCTGAAGGAGCAGGACCGGGAGCGGGGAGGGGGTCTACCTGGGGAGCACCTGGAGCGAGGAAGAGCGGCGGGGGGGGAGCGAGGCAGTGCGGTAGGGGAAGAGACGGTAAAAGGGAACCGACTCGTCGAACGTGACGTCCTGAGACGCAAAGACACGGCGCGAGGTGGGGTGGTAAAACTGCCAACCAGGCGCGTTAGGGACAAAGCCAAGGAAGACACAGGGAACAGCGCGGGCGGAGAGCTTGTCCGCGGTGGTATCGCGGACAAAGGCACGAGCACCCCAGACTCGGAAACGCGACGCATCGCCAACCTTCCCCGTCCACAGCAGTGTGGGCGAGGTCTCCGGCAAGGAGACACGGGGCCAGAGGTTGAGCTGATGCGCGGCGTACCGGACCGCAAACGGCCACAGAAAATGGGGGGCAGCCGCATGGATCATGGAGGTACGAGCGACCTCCATGACTAAGCCAATGCGGCGCTCAGCAACCCCATTCTGCTGCGGAGAGGCCGGAAGCGTGAACGACTGGGTGATGCCGTGCTCCGCACAGTAGGCTGCCAAGAGGTCGGAGGAGAACTCACCACCTCTGTCAGAGTGCAGACGCAGGACAGGAAAGTCCGACCGGAACCGCTCGCGGAGCTGGAGACGAACTGCGCGGATCCAGGGGATCAAAACAGCAGGGACATCCGCCTTGCTCTGCAAGGGGAAGACCGTGGTGTAACGCGTATAGTCGTCGACAACCAGCAGGAAGTACCGCTCGTGGCCCTGTCCCTGGACACGGGCTGGGCCCCACACGTCCAGGTGGAGCGTCTGCAGTGGAGCCTCTGTGGGAGGAAACGAGGAGGAGTGAGGAGCGGCGCGTTGCCGCCCCTCGACGCAAGGAATGCAGGGCGGCGCAGGCGAGGGAGGGAGGGCAGGCAGAGACCTGGGGAGACCAGAGACCAGGGAGCGAGAGTGCATGCTACGCAGGCGAGGCAAGG